ATTATTTTTTATTTCTATTTATTAAAATAATGTGATTACACACTTGCAGTTTATAAAAAAAAGTGTGTGTAGCACCGTACACATAATTGAAGTGAAACTTCTTAAAAAAGGTACCAGGTACCTATTCACCATATTTGATGTGTAAACATACGTTTACGGCTCGGCAAACCATTAGGCGATTGAGTTACATGCATAGGTTTGGTTAGAGATTAACAATATCTTCATTTCATTTTATTCATTTTCTGATATATAATTTATTTATTCCTTTTCCGGTAACACCACCTTATATGAATTCGCCCTTCTACCATACTTATGACCGGGTTGTAATGGAAGTAACTGAACGGAATGAACTGTCACATAATTATGTATTGTATGTTTACCAAATAAATACCAATGTTTATAATACAATCAATATATCATTACGAATTCGCCGCGATTTGTTACTATTCACCCCGTGCAATATAACTAAGGCACTAAGTAACGTACGCACTTTTGTTTGCAAAATGCATTTATTTAAGGTGAAGGAAGACCTTTGTTCGGCATTTCTCCTTACTTGCTTTCCAAGGCGAATTCATACGTTCTTATCACGAATTCATATATTCGTGTGGTAGCAAGAGTATAATAACATAAAATTACCTTATAAATTATATTCACAAGTATCACGTTTATGCGTAGTCCAATTAAAAATCATTTCATGGATCTGAGTAAAAACCCAGTGCATAAACTCAATTTCGCGTATAATTGAAATCATGAAATAGTGTTCATGCACTCTGTTTCTACTCAAACGCATGAAATGATTTAATCGCTGCGACTGTTGGTTCAGATTGATCCGCACTCAAGTTGGACATTTAGCCCACAAACCTTGCACTTATGCGAGCAGTCTCATTGTAAAATCTCATTTTTACAATTTCATAGTTTCGGCTTACATTTATAAAATTCAACGAAAGCACGTACATATTTCGGCTAGGTTATCCATTTGGGGTTATTTAGTGAACAAAATATACGCAAAATAGAATGAGTTTGTACAACATGGTCATTGATGTGGCGACAAGTTGTACAACTTGCCTGAATACCAAATTTTTTTGAGCTTTCATACTACCAAGGCACAAATTCATTCAACAGGCCCACACATGGTGCAATCTAGAGCAACACATCACCAAGTTGAACCAACGGTCGCTACGTTTATGGCTTTCTTTAAGAAACATCGGGGCGAAAATTTCAACTGTTCCTTAACCCTACCTTATATGAGTTCGCCTTGCCCGCATTTTTGAAATTATGGGCTAAAAATGTACACAGAGGTTTTGTTTAGCTTTCAGCAAAAGCTGGAGCAATTTTTTGTTATAATTTGTTAAAAAAACCGAAGGCAAAGTCGCCCTTGCCCATACGATTAGCACGTGGTACGAAATAGTTTTTCGTATTTTCTGACGAACGTATTATTTTGAGTTGTGACTTTTTTGAAGACGGCGTGCGATATGTTCATCAGAGTATACCGAATAGACGAATTCATACAAGGTAGAGGTTTATGCCACCGAGCCATGCCGCCGCCGTTTTTTGAAATTTTTCACTCGCCGCCGCAAAGTCATGGAAACATCGGATCGAGCTAGTATAAAGGCTGATCATAAATGCATTTTTGAAAAGTTGTAAATAACATAAGTGTTTGGTATCATTCTTTAGGGAATAAAGCGTGCTTTAATGTTCTAATGATTTTTGTGTGTTTATTTAATGAAATAAAGTGAAAATTGCTTAAGAAGTTGACATATTCAAATTGTTGAAATTTTTACTCGCAACGCAGTAATTTTCAGATCCGCAGTTTAGGAATTTTGTCCTAACAAGGACCTATTAAGAAATACGGACTTCAGTTACATGTTATATTCAGATTTAAAATTAGCTATAAATATTTTATTTTATTTTTTATTTTAATAACAGGTTGCAGCAATAGCTTCTGTAATAAAACGCAAATTTGGTTTTGGTTTTTTAATTTCGATGAAGGATTCGACGGTTTTCGAAGTTTGGTTATGTTTTGATTTTGAATTCATTAAAAGCACGAAAAATCCACCTACTACACGGAAAAAAAGTTTGCGTAAGTTTGCGAAATTTGAAGTTATGATGTTTTAAGTGACACTACGTGAGAATGCGGGATTGCAGCCGCTACTAGTATCATTGGGCTTTTAACCCTATAAATAATACATTTTTAAACCTAACAAAAAAACAACTTATATATTCAAAAACTAGGCAACCGCACCTTTTATCTGATTTTTAATTTGTGTAAAAAAACGGCCTCGAGCTCAATAAAAATTGTTGACTATAATTTGTGAGAATCTAATAATTTTTAGAAAAAATTACCTTACACCATGCATACGGAATTATCAAGAAATGCGATTTTTATTAGATGTCCAATATTTTACAATCAAATGGGAGTAAGTAAAGATAAAAACTTAGCTGCCTACATTGTTTGAAAGAGTTTTAGTAATTCAATCACTAATTTTAGAGCCTGCTTGTGGTCTTATTACTCAGTTTTTTAATTTTATTGTGTAACCTTATAGACCGCAAAATTTCGTATAATAAAAACGCAATTTGTGTGTTTGTTGGNTCTTAGTTTATTGTTGTTTGTGTATACGATTTGCAAATTAGAATTTTCGGAGGTGTGTGTAAATGTGTTGGTGATGGCAGGAGCATAAGGTAAGGAAACGCAATGTAATTGGGATGATAGTGCGATGTTATTTTGTGAGAAGAGTGTGTTTTCTTTGTTGCGTCTTATTTTGTTCGAGTTTTTGATTATCACCTGATCGATGAGTGACGTATTCAAACCATTTATGTCTGCTATGTGTTTCATTTGCTGATATTCTCTCATATAGTTGTCTGTAGACAGTAGCAAAGAGCAAATTCAATACACCATTGAATTAAATGAAGCCATTTTTTGTTGGTATGTACAAAATGAATCGCTAGTTATATATCGTTCTGTTGATGTTGGTTTCCGATAAACACCGAATTCAATTCTCTTTCCTTGTCGCTTAATTAGTACATCAAGAAAAGGAAGAGAATGTGTTGTTTCGTCTACAGCCGGTGTTGTTATTGTAGTAAACGTCTCGGAATTGGAAGCAGTTGCGTTTCGTGCAGCTGTTAATCGCTATAATGTATGCATTGAATTTATCCTCGGGTAAACAAAATTTTAATAGATGCTCCTTAATCGCCTTGATAGCGATGTCGATTGGAATCAATGGGAAAAGCGCCTCAACCTCAAAAGAAATCATAATTTCATCATTTTAAATTTCAATGCCGCGTACTTTGTCCACAACATCAAATGTGTTTTTCACAGAAAACCCATCAAGTGAACCATATTTTTTGATATCATTGACCAACCAACCGGCAATATTGGAAAACGGTGAATTTATGTTGGAAAAAATTTTTCGCATTTTGTTTACACTTTTGTGAACCTTGGGAAGTCCATACATTAAAGGAACGGAAAGGTTTGACACTAACAGGCGATGTTTATTTACTCCAAAGGCTTGGCAAATAGTGTCAGTGGCGATTTTGGCATCTTTTCTCATAGCATTAAGCGGCGATTTTCGGGAAACAACGAATTTGTCTTCTTCTATTGATGTTTTCATTCTTTCATTATACTGCTGTTTGTCCATGATTAAGACTTTGTTTCCTTTGTCCGACTTCATGTAAAATACGTCATGTTTCTTCAATTTGTTGAGCGTGTTAAGCCAATCGTTTGAGTAATTCCGTTTCTGTTGCTGTGCTCTTTTTATAAGCGGTCTCTTATTCTCTTTTTTATGTCAAGTGGTTGGTATTGTATTGCCGATTCGATATCAGCAATAATGTCAATAATCGGTACTTCCCCTTTGGTTTCACAGTGAAGTTTAGTCCCCTATTCAATAACTCCTACTCATCATCATCGAAACTTTCATTAGACATATTCACAACTAAGTCCTGAACCGGCTTCACTGATGGTGTGTGTGTAGTTGTTGATCGGAATCCCAAAAATTTTTCCAGTTTTTGGTTCTGTGTTTTTCGCTCTTTGTTGAAAATGTCGTCACATCTCGAAATTGATGCAATATGAAAAAGGTTAAATTCACGAAATTGGATGTTGTCGATGCCTTTAGTCATTTTTAAATGAAGGTTGTAGAGCTTTAATTCCATTTTGTCCAATGAACTGTAATGACCTTTTCGGTTCAAGAATTATGAACACTGCATTTTATTTTGATGAAACTGGGCGTCACTTTATGTTGCTTGCAATCCTTTAGAAAAAGAATATCTGCTTTCGTTTTCTTGATTTTTGTCAAAAGACGAGTGAACTGACTCGTTTAACGTCTGGTAAACATTGTTTGAAACAGTTTTAGTAATTTAATCACTAATTTTAGAGTCTGTTTGAGGTCATATTATTCAGTTTTTTAATTTTATTGTGTAACCTTATAGACCGCAAAATTTCGTATAATAAAAACTCAATTTGTTTGTTTGTAGTAAATTGGGTTTTAATTGTTTTTACCGATGCATTTCGATTGACAACTGAGCAACCATCATCAGCCAGCTCAGTATATCTAGTAAAAAAAANTTAATTTATGTCTTTTTAGGATATGTTGAGGCATCAAAGAAGGCGCAGTTTGAAAATGGAGTTATTAGTAATGAAGTAGCAGGCATATTTGGAAAATTATGCCGATAAACAGGATGGAATTTGGGAAAGTAAGTGCCTAGTTGCAGCATATCTATGTATTAAAAAGTATTTAAATATTTTAATAGTGGCTCATTTACGATGTGCTCCAAACATTTGGTGAACTTTTTTTCGCCTTCTCAGTGTGCTAAGTAACAAGTTAAGATGACTGCCATCACGGCCGGTAAGAAACCGCAAGCAAAGCTGAAGTTCATCAAGAAGCAGGTCAGCAAATTGCTACCCTGATCAAACGTAAACTAAAGCGCTCTGCTGCGATTACACTCCTTAAATGTGAAAACTTGGTGCATGCTGAGAAATATCAAACAAGAAAACTCCGTGATGGAAAAAACGCGGCCAATTCTACGTGCCTAAAAAATACAAATTGGCTTTTGTGATCCGTATCCGCGGTATCAACAAAGTTACACCAAAAGTGCGTAAAGTTTTACTGTTGTTCCGTTTTCGCCACATTACCCACGGTTTGTTCATCAAATTGAAGAAGGCAACCATTAATACGCTACGTATGCCGAATCCTATATGGGGTTATCCAAATCTTAAATCAGTTCGTGAATTGTTGTACAAACGGGGAATTATCAAGCACAACCATCAACGTGTCCCAATCTCTGACAGCTTTGTGATCGAACGCAAATTGCGCAAAGCGCACGGAATTCAGTGCGTTGATTATTTGGCGCACGAAATATTCACTGTTGGAATCCACTTCAAGAAAGCCTCCAACTTCCTGATGCCATTCAAGCTCAACACATCAACCCGAGGCTGGCGCAGGAAGGCTAATCACTACGTTGAGGTTGGGGATTTCGGTAGCCGTGAGCAAAAGATCAACAAACTGCTACGCAAGATGGCTTGAAGAAATTGTTTTTTTTTTTTTTTTTTTTAAGGCGACAATATAATGTGGCACATCTTCAAAAGGCGCCCATAAAAAAAAAGAAAATTAAAAAATTACACTGGTCGATTTCTGTCGATTGGAAAATTGACTGAGATATCGACCAGCCAAAGCGCTTACATTTTACGGTTGAATAGCAATTTACACGGGTAGATTTTAGTTAAACGACAAAAATCGACCTTGTAAAGGCAGCTTAAATAACGTTCAAATTAATGATCGCCTTTGAGATGGAAAATACCAATAACAATTTTATAATTTCGAAAATTATTCCATTTATATTTGTTCTTGCATTTTCCACACCACCTGTGGGGTATGCTTTTAGGCGCGTTACCGATTTTTTTTAATGTGCTCGGTTCCCCAGGAGGCCTATTTTCAACTTTACAACTTAACTTAAAAAGAATTAAAACTAAAGCATGCAATATATAAATAAAATTAAAAATTGTCTTACATCTAGTACACTTAAAAAATTGCACAAATTCATTATTCATTATAAAATAAAATTAAATATCACAATTCAGTTGACGTGTATACATGTATATGTACATATTTACAAAATGTGGTCTGTATGCACCCACAGTAAGTTCCCATAAAACCTAGCCTAAATTCAGAACTGAAAAAAACGAGCAAATGGGGTCGGAAACTACTAGCTTTAAAAGCATAATGTGGAAAATGTTTGAAGAGCTGAAACTGTATTGCAATAAATAATAAAAATAACAGTGCATTAATTGGAAAACTTGTTTTTGTTTTGCTTTATAATTTTTGGGAATATTGGTTCAGAGGGAACTTTTTTATTTGTTTTGGTTTTTCAGCTCATTAATGATGCACCCAGGGTTGCATTTACCGTCTATGAAAATATTTCATGAAGCATTCCAAAATTAGCACCGAGCAACTAAAAGTTGGTTAAGCTTAAATGAAAGTTTTTTATTAAATATTTATTCCTGGTACTTAGTAAAAAACATTCAGATCAATACTAATGTAGGAAATGAAGTAAATAAAAATCTATGAATACATTTCAGGAATATTTTGTCATAGAGCCATTATTAAATACAGACATAACTTTTTCGGGCGTTGGTGCTGACGTATATAGAATTAATGCGTTAGAGAGAGATAAATATACAAGCTCAACGCGCTAATTTAGATATACTTGTATGTATATACCTGTTACTCGTCTGGCATACACTCCAACTTCGAGAATAATGACAATTATAACTTATTTAAATGCATTTTAGCTAAATGTTATATCGTCGCCTGGATAAAAGATTGTCACAAGTTACTTTCGGTAACTCACGATTGAAGTTTGGAATGCATTTTCTCAGATACACGACTACAGATCTTCTCCAAAGTGTCGGAGAATGCTATGTACTAGTTCACGAAATTCTTAAATTATCTTATTTTTTTAGTTTAGTGTCAGCCATTTATGAGTTTAATAAAATTTTGTCGTATACGACATTTGTCAAAAAATTTTCAGTCAGTTTTAATGATATACGCCAAAATGTGATAACAATTTTTTATAAATTAACGATACTTTTTACTAATCAGCCTAATCGTGAGTTTCGCCCGAACAAAATTTCGCCAACAATTTTTTCATACACCTGTAGTGAATACACGCAAACGAAAAGCGAAAAAGTGACCCGGTTCTAGAAAATGAAACTCATGATAAGGCTGAATATGTCGGAAACTAAAGAAGAACAGGTAACTCTCTTTGAAAGATCTTGATTAGTTTAGTACGACAGCAATACTAACGCAATTTGTACCAAATAGCCGAAAACATTTTAGTCAATTACTCGGAAAGTAAAGAAGATATCCAAAAACCAGTTAACAAAAAATGGAAATATCTTACTTTAAAATATATAACTGCATCTATAACTACAAATTGTCAAAATGACGCTTCCGGAAATTTTCCATCCAAGCGACGATATTTGAATGTTACTCGCATAATTTCGAGCCGGTATGTAAATTTTCGGGGAAAAAAGATAAAAAACATATTCATCTGCTGAAAAGGTATTTTCGCAGATTCACAATTTATTTAAAGTAAATCTATCAGCCCTATCTCCAATTTCATGTGAATAAATCTCTCCAGTGCTTAAATAATTTTCACCACATTAAATAGCTGCACATCACCCTAATTGCCGAAAAAGCGTTGCTTGCAACACTAGTCCTTTATGGGGACCAAATTTGGTGAAAAAAAAACAGCTAAGTTTGTTTACTGGATGTACTGAGATCTGCCAGCGTCAAGTGAACACTAATCAAGACGACAAAAGTAGACAGGGCAATAGAAACATAATAGATGCTTACAATTATACATACATACATATGTACATGTCCAAACAATAATATGTGTGAAAGAGCAAGTGACATTAGAATTGTAAACAAAGCGAGACAGTTGGAAGTTCTGTATAAACAAATAAACAAACGTTTAGTTTTTGATACAATTAAATAGAGGAGATTCAATTGCACCGGGTTGAAGATTCATTAAGTTATCATTAATAGCGATGAAAAGGGATTCATAGGCATCTAGTTTAGCTGGGGTTTTAACGCGCTTAAGTAAAGAACTTTTTCTTCCATGGATATTGTGTTGTGTGGGCGAGAATTTTTAGGTCAAATGCCTGCCCGGCGATAGCATTGTCCATCTTTTTCAGCCGTACAGCACGCAGGTGTTCTTCGATTCGAGCACGCAGCGCCCTCCTTGTTTGTCCAATGTATTTACAGCCGCAATGCGAACAAGTTACTTCCTATACTCCACTTTGATCTTCTATCGGCAACTTGTCTTTCGTTGAACAAAGCGCGAATCTTAGTTTATTGTTGTTTGTGTATACGATTTGCAAATTAGAATTTTCGGAGGTGTGTGTAAATGTGTTGGTGATGGCAGGAGCATAAGGTAAGGAAACGCAATGTAATTGGGATGATAGTGCGATGTTATTTTGTGAGAAGAGTGTGCTTTCTTTGTTGCGTCTTATTTTGTTCGAGTGTTTGATTATCAGCTGATCGATGAGTGACGTATTGAAACCATTTATGTCTGCTATGTGTTTTATTTGCTGATATTCTCTCATATAGTTTTCTGTAGACAGTGGCAAAGAGCAAAGTCTATACACCATTGAATTAAATGAAGCAATTTTTTTTTGGTATGTACAAAATGAATCGCTAGTTATATATCGGTCTGTTGATGTTGGTTTCCGATAAACACCGAATTCAATTCTCTTTCCTTGTCGCTTAATTAGTACATCCTACCCCTATGTGAAAACAGGGGCACTATTGGGATACCCATGGCAACCTGCAAATTAGAACTTCGAAATAGCATGATCCAAGAGGCCAACAGGTCATGGCTAGAGGAGGGCACATGTAGAACAACCAGGCTGCTTTGGCCGCAAATAGAAAAGAAAAAGACGAAAGAGTTGCTGTGCCTCTCAAGAGAGGACATTGCGAAGGTCACGGCTTGTGTAACCGGTCACTGGCTATATGGCAGGCACTCTTCAAGACTAGGAATTTTCTCCCACGAATATTGCAGAAGTTGCAGAGATGAGGAAGAGGAAGAAACCGTAGAGCACTTCTTCTGTAGCTGCCCAGCTTTGGCCAAGAGGAGAGCAAGCTTTTTAGGCAGGCCCTTCTTTAGCTCTCTTACGGAACTATCACGCGTAGGAATAAAACCGATTCTACGCTTTATAAGAGCCTCAAATTGGTTCTCTGAAGAATAGTCACCGAGGTTCCCGTGTTCTGCAGTGGTACCACAATGGACCTTCAAAAGGTCTAAGTGAGTTGGTAAATTGAACCGACTGCCACATCAACCTAACCTAACCTAATTAGTACATCAAGAAAAGGAAGAGAATGTGTTGTTTCGTCTTCTTTATCAAAAGTAAGCTTAATACTCGGATAACGACTGTTTAAATTTTCCAGTATTTTATCGATGTCGGATACTTTTACAATAGCAAAAGTGTCATCGACATATCGATGCCAAATTCGTCGCAAAACGCCTTCACTCTTGAGTTGCGATTCAAAATTGCACATGAACGCTTTTGCTACGTATGGTGACAGACTGTTACCCATGCTACAGCCGGTGTTGCTATTGTAGTAAACGTCTCGGAATTGGAAGCAGTTGTGTTTCATGCAGCTGTTAATCGCTATAATGTATGCATTGAATTTATCCTCGGGTAAACTAAATTTTATTAGATGTTCCTTAATCGCCTTGATAGCGATGTCGATTGGAATCGATGAGAAAAGCGGCTCAATGTCAAAAGAAATCATAATATCATCATTCTAAATTTCAATGCCGCGTACTTTGTCCACTAAATCAAGTGTGTTTTTCACAGAAAACCCATCTAGTGAACCATATTTTTTGATATCATTGACCAACCAACGGGCAATATTGGAAAACGCTGAATTTATGTTGGAAACAATTTTTCGCATTTTGTTTACACTTTTGTGAACCTTGGGAAGTCCACACATTAAAGGGACGGAAGGGTTTGACACTAACAGGCGATGTTTATTTACTCCAAAGGCTTAGCAAATAGTGTCAGTGGCGATTTTGGCATCTCTTCTCATAGCATTAAGCGGCGATTTTCGGGAAACAACGAATTTGTCTTCTTCTATTGATGTTTTCATTCTTTCATTATACTGCTGTTGGTCCATGATTACGACTTTGTTTCCTTTGTCCGACTTCATGTAAAATACGTCATGTTTCTTCAATTTGTTGAGCGTGTTAAGCCAATCGTTTGTGTAATTGCGTTTGTGTTGATGTGCTCTTTTTATAAGCGGTAATGCGACGTCTCTGAGTTTTTATTATACGAAATTTTGGGGTCTATAAGGTTACACAATAAAATTAAAAAACTGAATTAGCTGGATATACTTGACTGCACAATATAAGTATATACGATTACCTGCTAGGTCCTCCAACTGCACAAAATTAGTATTGATACCTGCAATTCACACCGACTGCGTAAACTGCGAGTATCAGCATGCAGATGTTTATT